GGGGGGGGGGCTTGAGGTGGGAGGAGGGCTAGGTGGGAGGCAGGACAGGTTAGGGAGGCGGGGACAAGCTAGGCTGATTTTGGCATATGGTAGTGGGAGAGGAGATTTTGAAGCTTGTGAAGTCCACATTGATACCATTGGGCTGCAGGGTTCCCAAGCGGAATATGAGGTGCTGTTCCTGCAACCTTCGGGTGGCATCGTTGTGGCACTGCAGGTGGCCCAGGATGGACATGTCGTCTGAGGAATGGGAGGGGAAGTTGAAATGGTTCGCGACTGGGAGGTGCAGTTGTTTAGTGTGAACCGAGCATAGGTATTCCGCAAAGCGGAAAGTCCTCACATACACCCCACCAACCTCCGGATCCAACACATCATCCTCTGACACTTCCGCCAACTGCAATCCGATCCCACCACTAAAGACATTTTTTTCCCTCCCCACCCTTATCTGCTTTCCAGAGGGACCACTCTCCCTGGGACTCCCTTGTCCGCTCCACACTCCCCTCCAGCCCCACGACACCAGGCACTTTTCCTTGCAACCGCAGGAAGTGTTACACCTGCCCCTATACCTCCCCCCTCACTCCCATCCCAGGCCCCAAGAAGACTTTCCAAATCAAGCAGATGTTCACCTGCACATCTGCTAATGTGGTATACTGTATCCGCTGTTCCCTCTACATCGGGGAAACCAAGCGGAGGCTTGGGGACCGCTTTGCGGAACACCTACGCTCGGTTCGCACTAAACAACTGCACCTCCCAGTCGCGAACCATTTCAACTCCCCCTCCCATTCCTCAGACGACATGTCCATCCTGGGCCTCCTGCAGTGCCACAACGATGCCACCCGAAGGTTGCAGGAACAGCACCTCATATTCCGCTTGGGAACCCTGCAGCCCAATGGTATCAATGTGGACTTCACAAGCTTCAAAATCTCCTCTCCCCCTACCATATCCCAAAATCAGCCTAGCTTGTCCCCGCCTCCCTAACCTGTCCTGCCTCCCACCTATCCCCTCCTCCCACCATCTCCTACCTACTAGCCTCATCCCGCCCCCTTGACCTGTCTTTCCTCCCTGGACTGACCTATCCCCTCCCTAACTCCCCACCTACACTCACCTTTACTGGCTCCATCCCTGCCTCTTTGACCTGTCTGTCTCCTCTCCACCTATCTTCTCCTCTATCCATCTTCTATCCGCCTCCCCCTCTCTCCCTATTTATTTCAAAACCCCCTTCCCCTTTTCTGAAGAAGGGTCTAGGCCCGAAACGTCAGCCTTTCTGCTCCTATGATGCTGCTTGGCCTGCTGTGTTCATCCGGCTCTACACCTTGTTATCTATGATTTAGTTGGTTGACCTGGGTACTTTTGTTTTTTAATTGATATTTCTTCTCTGTACTTAACCAAATTGTTATGGTTATAAAAGTTTTATTTGAGCAAATCAAAAATATAATGGATTGCATGTTGGAGATGGTAAGAACTGCTGATGCTGGAGTCAGAGATCACCATGTGGAGCTGGAGGAACACAGTAGGCCAGGCAGCATCAGAGGAGAAGGAAAGTTGACGTTTCAGGTCGGGACCCTTCTTCAGAAATGAGCCCCCCATTTCTGAAGAAGGGTCCCGGCCTGAAACGTATGCTTTCCTGCTCCTCTGATGCTGCCTGGCCTATTTTTGATTGAATATTTATGCTTTAACAAATCTAATTTGCATGACTTTGAATTGCATTGATTGCAGTACATTTTAAGAAGTCCAAATTCTCCTTGGACCTGTATTTTTAATTTTTTTTTCTCTATTCAACCTTCTTAATTCATGCAACATTAACAAACTGCAACACTTAATAAGATAGGGTATGGTATCTTCTGTTTGATTGTAACAATAAGTAAGCATACTCATAAATGCACTAATGTACTTATTAGAATTTGAGGAATATTTGTTCATAAACCACCATTTTGTATGCTGTTGTGGCATTCATATTTTTCTAAACTAGTACAAGAAAATTCATTCAATACTGCCTTTAACATTTCAAATTGGTGACATTTGCATAATCATTTCTCTTGAGGAACAAAAGATTTTCTGCATCACACAAACAGGGAAGATCCTATTCTGATAGACAATTCAACGTTCCACCTGGAGCTAAAGGAAAAGGGCAAAGGTAATATGGTATTCTTCATTAAGAAACAAAGTAGTTTGTTTTGGATAGGTCTGAATCTTCTTCAGGTTGCAAAATATATTACTGCATTATATATCCTCGTTTAAAATATCCTCATTCAGCCAAGAACTGAAAAAATTATACTATATTTTAACTGATTTTTGGATGGGATTGTTTTCATGCACTCATGCTGACAGAAAGTGGAAAAACATTTGAAACCAAAAAAAGGAAATGCTGGAAAGATACTGGCCGAAAAATTTAGAATGCATCCTTCGGCATGGTCCCAGCCAAAAAATAAATAGTCATTTCTCATCTCGGCAATCCCCTCCAGAAGGTCTGTTCACATTTGAACGACATGTTTGTGAACCACATGATGATTTTGGACATTGTTGTCTCCCCAGACTTCTCGCTTTATTTTCTTGATCATGACAATACCATTCATTACCTACGGTGTCACACTTCACGGGATTGTCCCCTATTTTTACCATTTGTCTAGCATCCTCTAACTTTTCTTTTCCCTCATATTTCCAGGGCAAGTGTGAATCCTATCTTCTCTTTGCTTTTGGCCACCAGGGTGAGAAGGAATGGGATTGCAACTGGGCTGTGAGATGCTTGCCTGGACATGTTGAAGACACCTTCCCTTTCCCTACTCCCACAACTTAATCCCACTCCCACGTTTCTCTCTCTCTTCTCATTCAAAATTCCTTTGTTAACTTCTATACCTCTACAAGTTGTCAGTTTATTCAATTGTTCCCTCGTCTCCATCTTTCATGTCTCCATTTCATAGGGGTAATCATCATAGAATCCCTACAGTGTGGAAATAGGCCCTTCGGCCCAACAAGTCCACACTGACCCTCAGAGCATCCCACCCAGACCCATCCCCATCCCCCCACACCCCCCCCAATCTACACATCCCTGAACACTATGGGCATGGCCGATCTACCTAGCCTGCACATCTTTGGACTGTGGAAGGAAACCCACACAGACACAGGGAGAATGTGTAAACTCCACACAGACAGTCACCCAAGGGCGGAATCGAACCCGGGTTCCTGGCATTGTGAGGCAGCAATGCTAACCACTGAGCTACTTACTCACCCCAATCCTGATAGTTTTATTTGCGTGATATTGCCCCTACCTTTGCTTTCTCAGATCTAAGGAGCAGAGCTTTGAGTACATCTGTCATTTCAATTTGTTTAGCCATCCATCAACAGAACTAGGCTACATCAATTTCATTTGGAACTATACCAAAACTACCTACTACTTTAGGATTATCCTCGTGAGCAAAGATAATCTTTTTTTTAAATACTTTAATCCTTAAGCTTTTGATTGGTATGGGTATGGAAGAAAATGGATGAAATGTGTGCAATTGGAATTGAAGTGCTGATCAGCTTTGATTTGATTGGTGGAACAGGTTTCTGAGACTATTTCTGGCTGTAAGTTTAGCAGTGTCTGTAAACCACTCTTTCCTTTCCCAACACCTTCACTTCCAACAACACAAGTCAAAACAGTATGGACTTTGGCATCATTAAAATTGGGACCATGCCATTCAGCTGTTTCTGCTGCTCTTCCCCCTTGCCTCAAACCCAATCTCTTTCTAGTTTCTGTCCCATTTCCTCTAATGCCATTCAATACGATCACGGCTGATCCCACCTCAGCCTCCACTCCACTTTCCTGCCCCCTCCCCATAACGCTTCAACCTGTTACTAATTGAAAATCTGTCTATCTCCTCCTCAGATTTACTCACTGTCCCAGCATCCACCACATCCTGGAGTGTTGAATTCCACAGATTCATCTCTCTTTGAGAGAAGTAACTTCTCATCTTAATTTTAAATCTGCTACTCCTTATTCTAAAACTATGACCTCTCATACTAGATTGCCCCACAGGACAAAATATCTTCAATTTATCTACTTTGTCAATCCCCTTCAGCGTCATATATACCTTAATTAGACTTGTGTTTTGTAATTATGATGGAGGTTTTGTGCCTTCTGAAGGCAAAGTTGAGGATTCATGCCTTCTAGAGGCAAATGGAAGCTTCCTGTTTTCTTGCTAATAAAATAAACAATTTTCTGCCTTTCATGACTAAATAAGCAATTTCTATTCTTTTCCATAACTTCTGTAAACAGTGCTTTGTGCTGCAGCCTTAATAACCATAACCAGTACCATAATTTACATCATGAATCTTTCATTTTTAGCACCAATTCAAAAGTCTTTCAAGTGTTTTCTTTTGTTAGACTTGTCTGCTTTAATTTTTTAAGTTGTCCATTCTGTAGATTTAATTCTGCTTTGAGACATTCATGTCACTGCAACCTTGCTATGAGTTACTTCTGTGTACTACTACTTACTGTGGCCATGTCTCATGTTATCTTAGCAATGCTCATTGTGAACTGAAAGTCACCTTTGTTTTACTTCTGACATCCTTGGCCTGTATTTTGCTTGTTGTTTTGAAGTTCTTCTCTTTGTCTAACATGGATTTTTAACTTCATTCATGCATTTCTGATACCTTTGCTTCTGAGCCAAATTCTAACCAGGAATGCACATACAGATTCTCGCTGTAAACGGATGGTCTTTGAGCTGTTTCTAACTCCAACTGCTTTTCTGTGCTTCTCAAGATCTGAAAGAAAAGCATTAGCTCTGGGAGTGCTGTTTCTTCCTTGTTGATCCTTCCTTGAATTTCTGCTGATTGCTTGTTTGTTCAAGTACTTGCAGCTACAGACTCTCAGTATTCTTAAGAAAAAGTGAAGTCTTTAAAGCTGTAAACTCATGTTGTCTCCTGGAAATTTCTTCTGGATCTAATGATTTTTTTTCTCTCACCAATTTCCTTGTATTAAGCAACAATGCTCACTGCTGATCTCTGATATCTTTGTCAGAAGAAGGATACTACTACCAATCGTCTTTCCTTGACTGGGTCCAGGGGCCTGTTTGATTTTCAGTGGCAGAGGATCAACCGCGTTTGAATCTGAACAATAGCAGGCTGTTTCACACAAACATATAGTTTATTGCATGATAACAATTATGCACGTTACATGTGCAAGGTAAACCTCCTGTAGAAGTCTCTAGTGTCACAGATGCCAATCTCTAGCCAATTTGATTCACTCCACAGGATATCAAGAAATAGCTTGAGGTACTGGAAATTGAAAAGGCCATGGGCCCTGACAACATTCTGACAATAGTACTGAGGATGTGTCCTCCAGAACTTGAGTGGACAAAATAAGGCAGATGGAGTATAACGTGGTAAAGTTAGGTTGTCCATTTTGACAGGAAGTAGAGAAAAGTACAGAATTGCTTAAGTGGGGAGAGATCCCTGAAGGCTGTGGTGACCTAGTACATGATTCACAAAAAGTTAGCATGCAGATCCAGCAAGGAGTTAGGAAGGCGAATAGAATGTTGGGTTTTATTCCAAAGAGGATGGATATAAAAGTGGGGAAGTCTTGCTACATCCGTACATGATATTCATTGGACTGTATCTAAATAAACTTAATTAAGAAGGCAGTTAAGTGAAGGGGTTGTCTATGTGCACATGTTGAGCAGCTTGGGCTTTTGGTCATTGGAGTTTAGAAGAAACATACAAGATTCTGAATGGAAGTAAGACACCGAACTGCAGATGCTGGAAATCAGAAACAGTAACAAATTGCTGGAAAAAACTCAGCAGGTCTGGCAATATCTGTGGTGACTAAGCAGAATTAACAATTTGGGTCTAGTGACCCTTCTTCAGAATGGGATTCTGAGGGCGTTTAATAGGATGGATGCTGAGAAGATTCCTCCTTTTGTGGGGGGAGTCAAGAAGCAGGTAGCACAGCTTCACAATAAAGGTCTCCCATTTAAGATGGTGATCTTAAATTCCTGTTGACAGTATGAAACAATTCTCTTATGTCAACAGAGGTAACATCAATAGATTGATTTACCTGTTTTGCTTTGCCCATGATTTGAGGAAGCTCAATGAAATCCACTGTTATTGTCACTGTGCTACTTTTACAGACTGTTAATCTTCGAAGTTGTTGCATCTGGACCATGTACTTCTATCTTTGTATGCTGTAATGTCTTTGAAAAGACAAGCTTAAAATTAACCCAATGTCCATTAATGTAAACAAACTCTGTGAAAGTTAGATTAGTTAAATCATTAGTTTTAGTAATGGTAATTTCTCTCCAGAATGTGTCTCATATCTTTTTGGCCGATATCCTACCATTACAATGTGCTAACGCAGGTGCTCTAAAGGTATTAACCTCTTTATAATAATAGTTTGTTCCTCTTTGCTATTATGCACTACTTCTGCACATATTCTGGGTGTGATCTACAGTTTTATAGATGTAGCATTCTTTTGTCATGTTTGGGCAATGCGTGCAGCTTTGTTGTTCTGCAGTGCTGACACTGACTCGTGATATGTGGCTGTTCTCTGTGTTGGCTTTTCAAGTGCCATTTTGGATTGTCTGCACCTTTATAAAGTGAATGGTTTCTGTTGCTCTCCTGTGGACGATTCGTTATTCTTCTAAGAGAATCTGTTTTAAATCTTACTGGTCTCTCCTTCCAGAATGATTTGAATAGATTTTTACAAAGTTAATTCTTCTTTGGATTGTAAGAAATTTGACAAGACTCATCAGTAATTCCAAGAACAATTCTGCCTGTTATGAATTCTGATTTCAAAGGTCCATAGTCATAGTTTTTCAGCAATCTGTAGAGGTCATTAATGAAATCATCTACGGATTTCCATGGAATTGAACTGAACTGGTTTAAATCCCAAGTGTCTGGATCATCTAAAAATCTTAAAGTTGTTTGAACCTTCTTCAGATATATTCCTTTTCCAAGTCTTTTAATTTTTGCCTTTTATAGATGTAAAACAAAGGCTGCGGATTTTTGCTTCTGCTGTCCAGATTGTAAATTATTTTTCTGGCCCTTGATCTTATCCCTTGCAGATGACCCTCATGGGACATATTTACAATGGTAGTATTACTTGTTTTGGGAGGTGGGAATTTTTTTCTTCCCTTTCCTCCCCTGTCTTGTCTTTGCACTGTCTGTTTACTGAAAGGAAAAGGTTTGGGGGGGAATTGTTTATGGTAATGGATCTGAAAGATTTCACGTTAAGTTGCATTGGGATCCATCTGTTCTTATGATGTCCCATAGTCTCTGGATGGACAAACAAATAGTCACACACACAAGTTCTCTATGATGGCAAGTGTGACACTTCTGTCCCCTGATACCTGTAATTATCAGAAGGGATGATAGGTGTCATACCTTAGCAACAAAACATTAGTGGTTGTTAACCAGAAGACACAGCACGCTGGTAATACTGGTACTTAAGAATATGATGAAATCCCTTGCGTTTTTGAATATTTCTATTAAATCACTTCTCATAGCTTCTGTAATCTATCCAAGTAAATGAAGTCCCCCATCCCTGCAGTGATTCTTGTGAATCTTTTTCACATCCTCTGTAGTGATTCCATATCTTGCCTACAGTGTTGTGCTAAGAATTGCATGCAATATTTTAGTTGAGTTTGAATCAACATTGTGTATAAACCTCCACAAATTATCCATTTCAGATCTTGGGTAATGCTGACACTGGCTTTAGTGAGTATTGACAATAGCCATGGCCTCTTAGGCTGAGCCTTGGAGTTGGAGCAGCCAATTTACATTTGTCTAAGTTACAATTACAGGGCTCTGAAAATGAAATTCCAAAAAGAGGTAGAATTTTCCAAATGATTTCAATTTTGGTTTCAAAGATTAGTTTACTAAGCCGGCGTGGGATAAGTATGTTGTTACTTTGCATGATTGTGTATGAAAACTGTCAGCACGAGTAAAAATGGTTGGGAGAAACCCAAAGTGTTAAATGGTTAATTTAATCCATTAGAGTTTAAAATTAGTTTTAAATCTTTCGACTTAGGCCTCAGAAACTGAAGAAAAAGAAACATAATTTTGACAACGAAAATAAACATGACTATTTTGAAACTCGAAAGCAATTCTTCCACCTTCATCTGGAAAATCTAATATCTCGAGGCCCTTTTTACCAAGCTGCACTGGAATCTGCATTGATAACTTACATGGGAATGACTAAGGGCTCTCTGACAGCAATTAAAGAACTGACTCGTTACTATTGTCATTAAAAAGGTCACTGTTCAATACTAGAGAGACATTTGTTTTCATTTATCTGGTAGAATTAAGTTTAATTTGGGAGGTGTTACGTATATCTATATTTGTGCTGCATATTTTACTGCTTTCATTATCATATATCATTTAACACATTTTCATAAATTATTTTAAATCCAAAATTTTTGAAGTAATTCTCCAGAGAACTGATTAACAAAAATTCACACAGTGAAAGTTTTACTGGTCAAATTGTCTTCAGATTTAGTCATTTTCATTTGAAAATTGATTTAGTTTATCCAATCAATTAAATTTTTTCTCAAATGTGTGAAAATATTAATTTGTCAGCAAACATTTGCCTATTTTCTGGATTTTACTTTTACAACTAGAATGAGCTTTAGTGTTTTTGTAAGAACTTAATTTTCGATTTGCCTTTTTCCTTGTGGCCATTAATCACTTCATTTGCTGGTGTTTGGAGAGGGGCTTGACTGTTATCACAGAGCCTTTGGTCACTCTGCTTAATGGTGCTGTAACAGATTTGTACTTTGAAAAAAAATGACTTTTGCATTTATTAGCTGCTGAACCATTGATTATATCTTAAAAGGGCTAAAAGCCCAACTTGAAACTGCAGCTTCTAAGATGGCTGAATATTTGCATTACTGTACAGGATAAATTCCAATGTCATTAAGTAGAACCAACCAGTCTAGAAACCCCAGCAGAGACAACTACCTGGAAGGAGCATGAGCAGGATCATCTTCTGACCCAGTCATAGAACATCAGATCACCTGGGTGGTGACTATGCATTAAATGTCATCACCTCAGGCAATGAATTCTGGCTGGGATCTTTCTCAGCCATAATTGAATCAAGTGTGAAACAATTCACCTGGAATACAATAGCCACAACCATATCTGGCTCACTAATCAGCTGGAGAGAGAGAATCATGTGACAAGCCAGTTAACCTTTTGTGTTAAGAAACTGTTCTACTTCTACTAAAATGTTCTACTAAAATGAAATGGCCAGACCCCTGTTCCCACCATTTTGCAAATTCTAATACTGTCTGTTGTTTGATTTCCATGTTCTGTTGGCAGAGATTTTAACAATTTTACTGAGATTTTATCATTGCCTCCAGATAACAGATAAATCATCTATTCACAACTTGAAATCACATCAAAGCCAAAATCGGAAGGAAGGCCAAGCTCAGTCTGGATCCACCTAAGTCGTCAATCCACAAGAACTGTATAAAGTTACTGAGCTTTAAAATATCACTTTATCTTTCCTCCCATTCTGTAACTTATTGGTGTTGTGTATATGACATGTGGAAATTAATTTACTTGGGTCGGGTTACTTAAACAACTTTTCAAACAACTCATGGAATCCTGTGTGTCTTTTGCAGTCACAGTACGTAAACAGTCAAACACTCCACAGGCATTACCTTTTACAAAACTTGTTGTAGTCAATTGAGTAGAAAAGGAGAGGTGTGGATCATTCCCCTTTCAATTTTTTAGAATTTGTAAATGTCAATTTTTTTAAGTAATGGTTCTCCTTTGATTTTTTTCTTTTCTCTCCAAATCCAAACTTTTCTCATTGCTTTGTGTATTTGGTTTGACATTTGATTTACCGACTCATTTCTTAGTCCTTAATCCCTCAGGTTAAGGAGATGTACGAATGAATTTTCCCAAAATTTGGTGAAGTATCCATTTCGAGAAGGTTCATGGAGAGTTTCTCTCTGTGAGCTGTAGTGAGTTATCTTGTACAATTTTACATTTCACATCTTAAGTATGTATCACACTTTCATGGCACTTCCCTTGTACTACCTTGCCTCAGTAATGGCATATGTGCTCACTACTGCCAGAACCTCCTGCTATTCCAACCACCAGGGCCATACAGTTTTAAAGCCCAGCTGTGCACTAGTTCAAATCGTGCAGGCTAGGATTTGAACTTCACAGTTCCAGTGTGTAAAGAATTCAACAGGAGATGGTTGCTAGAGAACATTGGCACTCCACTTTGCTGACAAGGACCTGGAGGGCCTGGTGGATGAGATGGTGCAGGCGAGGGCCATTCTGTTTCTTAAGGAGCACCCAGAGGAAACCGTAGCATCTGTCCCTGTCAGCCTGGTCTGAAGATGCCACTGGGGTTGGTGCAGAGTCCACGGTGTGGAGGAACAGCCAGCAGTGCAGGGATGAGGGTAAGTGCCACCATTTCATTCTGCTACCTCACCGATACTAAATCTTGCCCTGCACCCACCACCCACCAAGGCCTACCACATTTTCACTGTTGCATGCAGCATCTCCCCTCTGGCTCTCAGACCCCAGCCCCACTGACCCTGCAGGGCCTATCTGATTCCTATTCACTGTGGACACCTACCTTCATCCACCTGCAGAACCATTAACAGCTGTGCCAGTTAGTTGCATCATATCTAGTGCCTGCCCATTCTGGATGAAAGCTGTCCACAATAGACAGGGAAAAGAGGGATAGTCATGCATCTCCTCACCCCCATGAGGAGAGAACCATGTACGAGCAGGACAGGACCATGACTGCTCATATGGTGATCCATGTCTCAGCAACCATGAAAGGTTCATTGTCAAGGTTTGCACTACTCTCCCATTATTATAATTTGCATTATTTCTTGTACAATCTTTCAATCCTATTGTGCAAATTCTTGTCTCTCCAGTCTTCTGCAGGCATGGGCAGCACTAACACAGCCTTCACCTTGAGGACAGTTTCACCTCTGGGCATCAGCTCCTCCCCTACCTCTCAGAAAGAAGACAGGACCCCTCCGAGGAAATACTGGCAAGGCTTGCACCCTTCAACAGGTCAAATACTGAGCCTTCAGTGGGTGTTGTAGCTCTAGTCAGAAGCACGTTCTGGTGAGTACATCACTGCCAGTCTCTGCAGCTAGCTGAGAAAGAAACACCTCAGATCATTGGCACTTGGAAGACTGCTGGAGACTGGGCACCTGCTCAGCCCCAGGCAGGAGTGGGATCCTATGCTGCCAGCCATTAAGAACTTCATTCAAAATGCATTAGTTGCCACAGGAGCAGCAGTTAAGTTTGTCGGAAGTACTTGGAAAACAGGAGGACTAAATCGATGCTATCTGTCCCATGCTGGATCTAGCACACAGTGTCTGGCTGCCTCATGGATAGCTCAGAGACTGCCATGAAGAGCCAGATCCAGCAGAGTGCTCAAGAGATACTTGCAGACCTACACTCCATCACTAGCAATTGATCAACACTAATGATAAGGAGTCAAGGGACAAAGTATCTTGACCTCACATTAGTTACCCCACCCTCACAGGAGATAGGCCAGTGCCAGTAGTCACCCAGCCATAGGAGGAACCAAGTACAGGCCCCTCATCGTCTCCTCAGGACGCTTCAGAGATGCCTGGCTTCTCCACCTCCATTCTACCAACAACCCCAAATCTTGCGGAAGTTTCAGTAAAGGAGGGTAAACCTACATCTGAACAGGACACACTCAGCTTGTCTGGACTCTCTTGCTCCAAACACCCCAAGAATGATCCATCTAAAACTTCAAAGGCAACAGGTTTCGCTGTAGGCCAGGCTCCGTCCACCATAGCTGCAGGCCCTGGAGCTGCATCTAGACATAGTGGAAGGGAGAAGAAAAACAAACTACATGTGGGTACATAGGTGGAGGGCAACACTTCATTTTAAATCTAATCATGTATTTGTAATTTTCAATTCATCTCATCACCTGTCTAATTGACTGTCATTTTAGCTGAAGCTACAAGAATGAAGCTGGTAAGGATTCCTTGCCTGAGTGCCAAACAATGATTTCTATGTTTTCCATTGCATTCCAATAGCACCCATACTAGCATAAAACATTGTCATGTTTGAATGTGGGAGCATCAGATGTTGTGAAGCTACAAATGGTTTGTAATGTTAACTTTTATTAAACAACAGAAAAAGTGAAGAAATAACAAACTGATAAGTTGTATTTGTAATTGGGAATAAAAAGAGGTTGCTTGTTTTACCAACAACAATAAATTTACAGTCAGTGAATGATGATATCATCCACTTTGTTCCATGAGAAGCAGTTGTCAAATTATGTGTGGCTTGTTGTGTCTGATATTGTTGCTGTTGATCTTGGTGAAGGTGAGGTATCTCTTTGGAAGAGTGCTACCACTCTCGTAACTCTTTATCCATCATTTCCCTTTCTCACCTGTTCCAATTGACCAGAGCACAGCCTACAAAGATTATGTGGCGCACACTGTCTGTAGTGAGTTGCAACAAATCCCCACACCTGTGCAAGCATGGAAACCTCATTATGGGGAGAAATTACACAGTCTATGGTTGTACAGTGAAAGAAGGTGCTGCACAGTATATACACTGTGCTATAAGGCTCTGCCTTGGTCAGAGGGTTGTGTAACAGAGTTATCTTCCATGGTTGGAGAGGGAAGCCCTTGTCTCCCACTAATCATCCTTGTAAAGCAGTGACCCTTGGAAGAAGAAATCTGAGAGTTATCAAGGATATCAGTATCATGGAAGCTTCAACGGTATCTGATACAGACTGGTAATATATAGGCCTGGAGCCATATAAGCGATTTGTGTTTTTTTTAAAAAAAATACAGTTCAAGGTTGAAGAAAACAGTTCCAGGACTATGTGCAGTTGTGAGATCTTGGAATATGTTTATTAATTGTAAATGTAGATGACAGTTTATAGATCCCCTGAGAATACTTCTGCTTCACAGAAGTTGCTAGGATTAATTTGTAATGATCAATGCCATGGTCAGGATTGCTTGTGTCCAAGATTTGTAATTGACATGGTTGGTCACTACAAGAGGGTAGGCATGCAGAATTCTGTGATTACAGATGTCTTTAATCTGTAGTGGGTAAGTGCCTGATTAATATACTTGCCCCTTGAGGAACCTCACATCATTCAGGGGGCTGAGTCCCTCAAACAAAAAGTATTCTGTCCGCTGTTGGTGTGGTGGCAGCCATTTTTCTTTTCCATTGCACGTTTTGTGAATCAAATTTGGAAGGAAAGTCCTGCTGAGTTGTGCTTTGCAGAGAGAATTGTAGGCTCAGCCTGTTAATTTGGGTGATTCCCCAAAGTGCCCTTCTGCATTCCAACCTCATCAGTTTTGAAACACTGATCTCCAGCATTTGTTGTTTTCAGTACAGATTCCAGCATCTGCAGTAATTTGCTGCCATACTGTTTGTTCTGTTGTTCAACTATTGCCCTCACTGCAGCTTTAACAGCTGACTCTTTCAGCAGCTTAACTGGCAATATTATTAAACCGTTAAATGTTACAGAATTGTTCTGATTCTTTACTGCTCAATGTGGGAAAATGAAAGCATTCCTTGGATACATACAATAAAACCACTGCTTTACCACGGGTGATTTGGTGATGAGAAAAATAATGTTCAATTGTGTGTAAGAGCACTTCTAGATATAGAAAGAAAACAAATAAAGCCACTACTTTTTCCATGGGCTTGATTTTATGGGCCACCCATGGACAGGAATTGAGGAAGTGGTGGTACTATAAATAGGGCATTGTGCCATCAAGCAGCAGGGCAAGTATTGTGTGGGTGGTCCATGCCCCCAATTGAAGTTGTCAGTGGGCAATAAATGCCCCCTTCAGGGTCTCATTCTGCCACTGCTCAGAATTAGCAGGTGGTAGGAGAGGCTTATGTGCATATTTCATGCTTCAGGCTGCTAGCCAGTGAAGGCGGGTGCTTCCTTTCTGGACCCTAGTCTCTAAGTTAGCTGAATAGATAAAAGGCTAAAATCTATCCCTCCAAATGTAAGGACACTCTGAAAACATTAGGAAGTCTATTTAGCATAATGGTGATCCATGAAAGATAATAAATCTAATCAGCTTTAACAGGACTTGTGGAAAGATATAACTTTCTGAAGAAGGGTCCAGACCCGAAACGTCAGCTTTCCTGCTCCTCTGATGCTGTCTGGCCTGCTGTGTTCCTCCAGCTCTACACCTTGTTATCTACTGATCAGATAATCTGTTCTTGCAATTTGATCATGGGATAAACATTGACCATTATACTGGATAACTCACTTACCTATTTCAAAATAATGTCTTTGGAATCTTTTATGACCACCTTCAAAGGCAGACGAAACCACAATGGTGGAACCTCCACCAGTGCAGCGGTCCCTCCATATGTACTGGGCTATCAGCCTGGGTAGTTTTTATTAAGGCTCTTGAGTGAAACTTGAACCCAGAGTATTGTGATTCAAAGGCAAGATTGGTACATACTGAGGCACAGCTGACTACTTATTAATGTCTTGCAACAAAGCCATGCATTGCAAGAAAAGCAACTGATACTAATAGCATGTATATACACCAATGTTTCAAGATAATCTATTTTTTTTTTAAGACATAGGTGGATTGGCTATGCTAAATTACACAGTCTCCAGGGATGTTCAGGCTAGATGGATTAGCCATGGGAAATGTAGGATTACAGGGATAGGGTAGGCAGTAGATCTGGGTGGAGATGCTCTACCGAGAGTCAGTATGGACTTGATGGGCCGAATGGCCTGTTGCTGCACTGTAGGGATTCCATGATATGGTATTAGAGATTTGAATAGGTTTTTTTTTTCTCAGCAGCTTATTTCCTCAGGTACAGTCATGATAGTCTTTTTGTGAACTTCTGTTGCTGTATATGTTTAATGTTATAAATGTATTTCTAATCTTGTATCTTTCTGATTATTACTTTAACTTCTGATTGCTCTTAAGGAAATAATGAACTTGACTGTGCTGATAATATGAATCAGGGATGGTGAAAAGCTGCAGATGGGTAGCCAAGAAATGTTCTGCATGGACTTTGCACCTTATCCTGATCAATGATATAATTTGATGGCATGTTGGCTTTCTGAAGCTGTCTGCTTACCTGAAAAACACAAAAATACCTGGTTAAACTTACAGATACATGTGTGATGTAATTCATTTACTATAGGAAATCTTAAACATAATGACCCAGAACTTGTTGGGGATGTCAGAAGGGCAGAGAGATCAAAGGATCATGTAACTGGTGTGAGTAGAGTGAACAGACCTAAAATGGCTGGCTGACTGCCTCCTGTAGAATCTTTAATCATTCATACATACGGATTCTGGAATTTGCACCTTAACCAATTGAAACTAACAGTTCTCCATATCTTGCTTCTGCAATTTCTAGATCCTTTGATCTCTCTGCTTATAAACTCTGTGTTTGTGTGTTGTCCTCTTACTGCACCTGACATAGGGGTTGCACTCCGAAAGCTTGTGATTTCAAATAAACCTGTTGGACTATAACCCGGTGTCGTGTGATTTTTGATTTTATCCACCCCAGTGCAACACCGGCACTCCACATCACAGATTTAAGACTTCCTCTTGTATTGCTTTACATTAGTAGCCATGAAGTACTACCATCATTTGATGACCAAATTGTTTTGCATTCCTTTGCTGGAATAAAATTTTTTAATAAATATTTTCTTAATGCTGAGAAAGTGAGAATGGCATTATATTTCTGTGAATGCACACTTATAACACTTGCATGTTATTGGTGTAATTGACTGGCACAAATATCAGTAAAATCTGAATATAGTGGAGAAACTAAATTTTCTTGTTTTGTTTACAGCCCGTGGAAAACATTCTAATTTTAAATGTTATAATTTTAGTCTTAGTTGCACTGATTTTTTTTCTCCACGTGAAAACATTACAGACATATTTATATACATCTAAATAGAATAAAATAGAAATATTAAAAGCTAGCATGGACTATTTAAATATGTATTATCTAAAGCTCTAAGGTGTTATCAAATTAATTAAAATAGAAATTTTCATTTTGCTAGAACATAATCTTAATAGAGATATTAAACATGTTCTTTGATTCATTCTTTAGGCTTTAGAAGTATTAATTTTCTAAAGACCTCCAATAAACAATAAATTAGATTAATATTTGTTATGTCTTACGACTCTCTGTATGTTGAGTCCCTAATATTCATTGTGTTACTGCAGGGACTAATCAGAGGTTCAGATATAGTAGGAACTGCAGATGCTGGAGAATCTGAGATACCAAGGGATTCACCCTTCGTCTTCAGACACTTGGTTGTAATCAACTACTGAGCAACCCAAGCATAATTCTGGAGCAAGTCCTCCGTCAGAGACAGGACAAAAAAATTCGAATAAAATATTCCTTAAAGAAAAATGATTATCTAAATGTCACCAACAATACAAATACCGACAACTGTTGAAGCACTCCAGTTTAGAAAACTACATTGTGTTTGACAGAGATTTGGGCTTAATGAGGATTTAAATTATTTGCATTAAAATACCACAACAATGCCTATTTAAAATGCAAGTTCGTTTTCTGTGATGCGTATTTTTTTAAAAAAATTTTAATTTAGCAAGATATAGCTTACACATATTTTATGAATCACAGTGTAATGAACCTGTTTACAAAAAAAAATGCTCACTTCTTCAGCTTTTTTAAAAACTCGGAGAAAGTTTAAACCGAGCAGCTTTTTAATGTCGTTGTCAGTCCAGTTACGCTGGAGAAGCTCAGCAATTAATGCAGGAAATTTTGAAACGTCTTCTAGGCCAATAGGACCCCTTTAAAACCAAAAGAAGAGACATTATATTTTTTTTTCTCGTTGCAACAAATAAATAATCGTAGGCTTAAAATCGGAACCAACTCCTATCTAAGTACCTGTCAAAACCATCGAAGTCACTGCCAATGCCCACGTGATCGGCACCAGCAACATTTCGAATGTGGTCAAGATGGTCTAAAACAGGAAACAATTTATTAAAGATCGGGAAATTCATCAGCTCTTATCATTCAAAATGGTGATAGGTCATACTAACCTGCCACTTGGGATAAGGTAGCAGTTCCGTTACAAGAAATAAAGTTAGGATAAAAATTTACCATCACAATGCCTGAATTGTTTGCCTGAGAAATAAACAAAATAGACAATTTATACATTAAATTTTATTTGAATTTTGTATTTAACACTGCATTTACTTGGATATTTTTTGTTTGTATGATTCAGTGATTAGCATCGTGGAATCATGAATATACTTTTAAATTCTAGCAAAACTCAGTACTACAACGATTAGAATGAATAATGTATGAAATGGGCTGAATTACAATTCTAAATACAACTTATGAAGTATATTGTTGGTTATAGTTAACATGCATGGCAAAATAAAGCATGTTTGTAGGGTACAAAGATATTCTAAATATCAAAAATCTAAAATGAAATGCACATTGGATGAATCAGTACCTGAAAAAGGTAGGTTAATGTTTTAATATGTGTAATTTTAATCATGCATGTATTATACACATTTAGACTCCTAAAGAGGCAGTATGCAAGATGTCAAATTATTTGACTTAACGTATACTACAATTAAACAGAGGCAGGTTTAGGGGATTTTGAAGTACCAGTAAAAGCTATAACTACAACTCCATGGGAGCTTTGGTTGAATCACATTTGGAGTACTTGCTTAAAATTCTTCCACAAGACACTGGCAAGACCAATATTTGTTGCCAATTCCTAATTACCCTTGAACTCAAAGCCTTGTTAGACCTTTGGTGAGGGCAGTTAAGAGTTAATGAAATTGCTGTGGGTCAGGAGTCTTATGTAGGTCAGACAAGTTGAAATGGCAGAGTTCCTTCCCCAAAGAACATTAGCAAACCAGACATGTTTTCACAACAATTGAAGGTAGTTGACGTGGTCACAACGAACCTATCATCAATTATGCTCAGATTTTGCCTTAATATTGAAGGAAGGCTAACTTGTCTTGGAGGTGATACAGTGAAAGCTCACAAGGAGTTGTTGCATGATGAGAAGTTGAGTAAGTTTTGCCTATACACTCTGGAGTTTAGAAGAATGAGAGGTGATCTCATTGAAGCAGAAAGCACTCTGAAGGGCTTAGCATGCTAGACTCTGAAGGGGTTAAAAGAGAAGTGGATGCAGAGAAGTAGAGAACTGGTTGGCAGACAGGAATAAGTGGGTCTTTTTCTGAGTGTTTGGCAGTGACAGGTAGGGTACCACAGGATTCAGTGCTTTGACCCAAGCTGTTCACAATATAGATTAATGATTTATCTTGTTTGCAGATGACACAAAGCTGGGTGGGAGGGTGAACAGTGAGGAGGATGCAGAAATGGGACTAAAAGTTCTGTTTCCATGCAAGATATCTCATCACTTTTGGTAGCAAAAAAACAGGAAGACGGATTATTATCTGAATGGGAAAGTGGGAGATGTAATGAGACTCGAGTGTCTTTGTACACCAGTCGCTGTAAGTAAGCATGTAGGTGCAGCAAGTGGTGAAGGAGACAAATGGTATGTTGGCCTTCATAGCAAAAGGATTTGAATACAGTAACAGGAATATTTTGCTGAAATTACTCAAGGCTTTGGTGAAACCAAACCTGGAGTATCGTGTGCAGTTTTCACCCCCTTATCTGAGGAATGATGTTCTGGTTATTAAGGGAGTGCATTGCTGGCATTGCAGGGCCGATGAATGAAGAGATACTGGATCTGAATAAGCGAGGATCTCATAGAAACCTGTAAAATTTGAATAGGACTCAGATGGGATAAATGCAGGAAGGATATTTCCAATGACTGGGGAGTCTAGAACCAGTGATCACAGTTTAAGGAAGTGTGGTATGCCATTTACGACTGGGATGAGGAGAAATTTCTTCTCTCAGACAATGGTGAGCCTGTGGAATTCTCTGCTACAGAAAGCAGTTGAGATCAAAACATTGAATATTTTCAAGAAGGTTTTAGCTATAGTTCTTAGGACTAAAGGGATCAAATGGTATGCAGAGAAAGTGGGAACACAGTACTGTGTTGGATGATCAGCAGTGATCATAGTGATGGTGTGGAGGTGCCGGTGTTGGACTGGGGTGGACAAGATCAGAAATCACATGACACCAGGTTATAGCCCAAAAGGTTAATTTGAAAACACAAACTTTTGGAGTGTAGCCCCTTCGTCAGGTGAAGTGAGAAAGAAGCATACAGAACACAGAATTTATAAGTAGAATTTAAAGATCAAAGGGTCACAAAACCGATGAGAATGTATTAAACAAACCTAAGATGCTGTTAAATCTTTAATCAGTCAGAAGGTTTTAATTGATTAATGTGTATATGTAAATCCCTGAATTCCTTTCAAGTCACTGCTCTGAGAGAAGTAAAGGTTTTATCAGTGTAAGGAAGAGGTGACATTTTAGGTCCAACAATGCATGTTAGGTGTGACGCCTTGTTTGGAATCCATTTGCGTTTTGGTTTGGAGTCAGACTGGTTTTATTTCTAAAGTAGGAATTGATAAAACGCCATTGACTGTCTATAAATTGTGTTTTTTGAACAAAATAGAATGTATCTGCAAATACAAATTCACCCCATAGATTTACGTGTGTGTGTGTGTGTGTGTGTGTGTGTGTGTGTGAGAGAGAGAGACAGAGTATATAGTGTGGTGGTGTCACCTGTAGTGCAACGTGAACCCAAGATTCCAGTTGAGACTAGCCTTATGGATACCGAACTTGGCTATCAGCCTCTGCTCCATAACTCTGCATTGTTGTGTATCCCGAAGTCTGCCTTGGAGGATGTTTACTCAAAAATCCAAGGCTGAATGACCTCGACTGCTGAAGTGATCCCCCACTGGGAGGGAACATCCCCCGTTTGGCAACTGTTGTACAGTGTCCATTCATCTGTTGTCATGGTTTCACTAAAATGCCTTGCCTTGGGGAACCCTTGCCTGCAGCACACGAGATAGACAATGTTGGCTGAATCACGTGAGTATCGGTCGTGCACGTGGTGGGTGATGTTCCCATGTGTGATGGTAGTGTCCATGTCGAAGATCTGACATGTCTTGCAGAGGTTGCCATGATGGGGTTGTATAGCGTTGTGGTCAATGTTGCCCTGAAGGCTGGGTAGTTTGCTGCAAACAGTAGTCTGTTTAAGGTTTGGTGGTTGTTTGAAAGTGAGAAGTGGAGGTGTGGGGAAGATCTTGGCAAGGTGCTCATCAACATTGATAACGTGTTGAAGGCTGCGAAGAACATGGCGTAATTTCTCTGCTCCCGGGATGTACTGGACGACAAAGGGTATCCTATTGGACGTATCCTGTATCTGTCTTCTGAGGAGGTCATTATGGTTTTTTGCTGTGGCACATTGGAACTGGCGATCGATGAGTTGACCATCATATCCCGTTCAAACATTTGTCTATCTCATACGCTGCAGGCAAGGATGTCCCAAGGCATGGTATATTGGCAAAACCAAGCAGACACTATGACAGCGGATGAATGGACACTGCGCAACAATAGCCAAACAGGGATGTTCCCTCCCAGTAGGGGAGCACTTCAGCAGTCGAGGACATTTGGCCTCAGATCTTCGGGTAAACGTCGTCCAAGGCAGACTTCGGGATACACAACAACGCAGTCGCCAAACAGAGGCTGATAGCCAAGTTTGGTACTCGTGAGGATGGCCTCAACCGGGATCTTGGGTTCATGTCGTATTACAGGTGACCCCACCACATTATACACACTCTCACACACACACCCTTTTCTCATGCATGCACTGTCTCTCAAGCACACACACACATGGTGTCCCTCTCTCGCTCGCTTTCACTCTCTCTCGCTCACTTTCTTTCTCGCTCACTTTCTTTCTCTCTCGCTCACTTTCTCTCGCTCACTCGCTCACGTGCTCACTCCTCTCACTCTCGCTCACTCTCTCGCTCACTTCCGCCCCTTCACAGACACACACTCCCTCCACCCACCCCCAAAACACAAACGGCTTCTAAACAAGGCCTCATATCTAACATGCATTGTCTGACCTAAAATGTTACCTCTTCTTTACATTGATAACACTTTCAATTCTCTCAAGTCACTTCCCTGAGAGAAATTCAGGGATTTATATATACATATTAACCAATTAAAACCTTCTAAATGATTTAAGATTTAACAGCATCTTAGGTTTTTTTTAAATACATCCTTATCAATTGTGCAACCTTTTGATCTTTTACTGAAAAATTCTGTGTTCTGTGTGCTTCTTTCTCACTTCACCTGACGAAAGGGCTAGGCCCCAAAAGCTTGTGTTTTAAAATAAACTTGTTGGATTATAACTTGGTGTCGTGTGATTTCTGACCGTGATCATAACTAATAGCAGAACAGACTTGAGCCCTACTCCTAGTTTCTACGTTTCTAAATTAAGTAGATGCATGAGGTTATATAATTTGCTAAATCTTACTGAATTTCAGAAACATTTGGCAACTAGCAGGATAATTAGGGTTTGGGTTACCAGATGCAAAAGTGGTAACAGCTTCACTAGCAAATATAGTTTATTTGATTAACCTGTTTGGACACGTTATGGTGACATACAGTCAGGGCAAATGGGATTGTGAAATTGGACCTTCTGGTTCAGAGGCAGGGACACTACCTGTGCACCACAGGAGCTCTTCAACGTCACTAGTGTTTTTTGGATGTGTTATAATGTACCTCTATTGCCTTCATAATCTTGAACTAGATCTTCTGGCCCAGAGGTAGGGGCATTACATGATCCTACTCAATGATGGGTTTAAGAATAGATGGACTCTGGCATTGTTTTTTAGTTGATAAATTACTATTTCTGATAGGAAATGGGGACAATGCACCTTTCATGAGTTGGCCAAAGATGGCAACTGCCTTCCCTATCCATGTAACCACTGCCACCTCATAGGGCAAGCGCAGCAGATACATGCTTCTACCACTGGTAACTTCCTCTTCAAGCCAATTACCATCCTGACTTAGAAATACATTATCTTTCCTACATTGTCACTGGGTCAAAATCCAGAAACTGCCTAACAACACCGTGGATGTACTTACATCACATTGATTGCAGTGGTTCAAGAGCAATTAGGGATAGGCAATAAATGCTGGCCACATGCTGAGAAAGAACTTCAAAATAGATTTTGATTTCTGTACCAAGAGACAGATTGTCACTGTAGACCATTGTAGCAGAATTTACTAACAACTTGGGTGTAATTGTAGATCTCACTACATCGTTTAATACAACCAGTATGGCAAGATTCCATACGCTTTTAGAGAAAATTGGCCATCCACCAAATCTCCCAGTGTCATCTGATCCTTCCATGACAGCGCACACTGTACTGTACAGTTTGACAGCACCATTCTGACAGTTTCAGGATGAAGAGTGGAATGAAACAGGGCTGTGTCCTAGCCCATTTTGTTTGGTATTTTCTTCTGCATGTTCCTGACCTTTGCCTTCTCTGCAGATATGGAAGGAGCTTACCCACACACTTAGTCAAATGGTGAGCTCTAAAATCTGTCAAAATTAAAACTGAAGACAGAAGCCTAGCAAGTCTTCATCCAATAATTCCTCCACGTTCATGATTCTTGCTCGTTACTACTGACACAGAAACTCGGCTCCAAAGACACACAGATTGTCTCTCCCAGCCTGTAAACTGTTCTCACCTATAAGCTTAAACAAAACCATGCTTATGGGCCAGGGTGTCACAAATTATAACGTACATATGGGGAATCAATTCATATATATTTCTGCCATCAGTAATTGATATTTTCAAACTCGCGAAGATACAATTATCTCATAGTTATCTATCAAAGTAATCTAAAAGCAATAATCCCTATGATAATTGCAATGAATTGAAGCTACAACATGTCCCATAACAATTAATTAGTTCCAATTTTACTGTTCAGCACGCCATTGCATCTGAAATTACCTGTGATTGCCAACCTTTGTTATCAATCATATCTTAATGCTTCCTTCCCACTCAAAAGGCATGTAATAAGAGTATAGCAAAAAAATTCAACAACTTCACATATTGCATAGAATTTTCAGAAAGGCAATGATGCATCTCAGGAGTCAAGTAGTATAAAATTGCTCCAGCCTGCTATTACGGTTTTTAACACCGCAAACTCTAAATGTAATTCTGCCTGTAATTTATTGCTGTCAAATATGGAAACACTTTATGGTTTCATTTGTTTTTGGTAAAAGTGTAAGTAAAAGTTGTCTGCAAATAGACAGATAAAGAGTCAGATTTAGATCCTTTTCTGTGATAACATTCAGCTCAAAAATATGTTGCATCATAACTTTCTGGATGCCTGGCAAGGACAATCTGACACCTGTATATCTCCTAATAAATCAACTCAGGACTGAGAACAAGCATGATTTAGAGTCAAATCCAGTACAACCATGGAAATAAAGAAAGATAAATCTGGATTAAGGCAGAGTAAAGAGACAGAAAAGAAAATGAATAAAAATTCACAATTATCATTTTGTGTTCAAAGAGTAATTCAGCTATTAATAATGTACATAACTTTCTGTGGAATATTTAATGAGCCAATTCAGCACTTTTTGAGAAATAATGGTGAGATAAAGGGTAAAGTTTTGCTCTTGTGCAAAGAAAATGGTGAAGAGAACATTAATTGCTCAGATAACAAGGTGTGGAGCTGGATGAACACAGCAGGCCAAGCAGCATTAGAGGAGCAGGAAGGCTAACGTTTCGGGCCTAGACCCTTCTTCAGAAGTGATTAATTGCTCAGCCAGGTTTGGACCTCATGGTATATCTCATATCTGAAATCACTGACTTTTATATTAACCTCTTACTTTTATTCATTCAGTAAATGTTGGTGCAATTTATTTATTATAAATATTAAATATTAGTATAGAACATTTAAAGTTTGCACATGATTCCTTGTACCAGCTTACGTAGAGCATCATCTTGCACATTACGGTAGTTGTGGCATAAAGCAAATGCAGATGAATGACTGAAAATGACAGGAGCCTCTGATACTTCAAGTGCAGCTAACATTGTATCTTCAGAGACATGAGATAGATCAATCAGCATTCCCAGACGATTCATTTCTTCTACAACTTTCTGAAAGGCAGATACAGTAAGCATTTGATTCTAGTTTGGTATTTTCTTTCTTTCCATACGTATATTAATAACTTCTGTCTATGTAGCTCCCTTAATGTAGAAAGAATTTTAAAAGTTTTTTTTTATTCATTCACACAATGAGAGCATTGCTGGTCTAGGCAGCATTTATTGCCCATTCCTAATTGCCCAGAGGGCAGTTCAGAGTCAACTACATTGCTGTGGGTCTGAAGTCACATGTAGGCCAGACCAGGTAAGGATGGCAGTTTCCTTCCCTAAAGGACATTAGTGAACCAGATGGGTTTTTCCAACAATCAACAACGGATTCACAGTCATCATTAGATTCTTAATTCCAGATATTTTTTTGAATTCAAATTCCACCATGTGCCCGACGGGATTCAAACCCAGGTCCCCAGAATGTTGTCTGGGTCTCTGGATTAACAGTCCACCAGGCCATAGTTAGTTTGTATTGTGGTAATACCACCATAATCCAGACACCAGGGAAATGCCATGAGAATGAGTTCAAATCTCACCATAGCAGTTAGCGAAATTTAAATTCAATTTGTAAAAAATCTGGAATTGACAGCTAGTCTCAGTAATTGTGACTACAAAACTATCTTTGATTGCCATAAAAACCCACCAGATTCACCAATGACCTTTAGGGAAGGAAATCTGCATCATTACCTAGTCTAGTATACTGGCAACTCAAGATGCACAGCAATGTGGTCCATTCATAACTGGTGTAACAAGCCACTCAGTTCAAGGGCAGTTAGAGATGGACAACAATTGTTGGTCTTGTCAGTTAAATAAAAGCAAATTACTCTGGATGCTGGCAATCTGAGATAAAAGTACTGGACGAAATCAGCACTTGTGGAGAAAAACAGAGTTAATGTTTCAAGTCCAGTATGACTTCTTTGGAATTGATGCTGCATCATTGGCAGTGCCAATAAAAGCAAAAGTGCTGGGGAAATATTTTTTATTTTTAATAAAAGGTTTTGTTTTAAATCAAATATGTACAGGAATAAAAATCATTGATGGAGGTACGTTCATGACAATTAGATAGACAAGTAGAACCAACTGAGGAGAGTTTTCCATCATGCTGGACAGTGGAGGAGAACCATGAGAGGAGAACGGGAACATAAAATGAATATAAGCCATTTGGCTTTTCAAATCATTTCTGCCATACTGAACACAGAAACTGCTGAACATCACAGTCGGTCAGGCAGCATCTGTGGAGAGAGGGCAAGGTAATGTTTCAGAGCTGACGAGAAGTGTGGAGGGGACAGCATTTATGCAATGGTGGCAGGTGGAGCTCTGGGGGAGAAAGGGTATTGATAGAGTGATTTAATGTGAGAATGGCAGAACAGTGGTATATCTAACTGCCAAACTGGAAAGAACAGGCGGTCCCACTAACAGTTTGATTCAGCCTCAGAAAGTGACAGGGAGAGGGATAGAGTAGTGCTAGGGAGCGACATTTGTGGCTGGACTGAAAACTGATAATTGGCAAATGTTATCCTTATAATTCAACATAATAAAAGAGGAGTCTCAGTATGGAAAGCCGTCTGTACACCATCAATAACGGGGAAAAGATGAAATATTGTCTGAAATTCTACAAAACACAAAAATTAGGGGCAGATTTTATTGCTTTTTGGCTAATTGAAAGTTGTATCCAATTTGTTGGAGGGATGCTCACTGTGACACCAAACAAGTTTTCTCACTGAATCTGTACCAAACTTGCTGCATTAATTATGGATTCTGTCTAACCTTAGCATACACTGGTTGCTGAGCAACTCAACACTCACTGCATATCCCAGAATTCACTGGCATCCAGGACATAGGTGCTATCCTTATAAGCCTATTGTGCATCTGGACAAGCCATGTCATTCTGGAGCTGCCCTGCATGGCTCCTGACATTTGTCCTGAACATAGCAGATAGGGGGAAGTTGGTGCCCTGCTTTGTGGGCAGTCACCTGGAGCTCCTGCTGTACAGGACTTCCTCTTCCCCCCAGGACCAGCAGCAGAGGCTAGTGGAATAAAAGACTTTTCACACCTGTCCCCAAGAAATGCAGCGGCCAATGAAACATTGCAGACGATTGAGTTGTTTATGTGTATGAATGATTTGTGAATGGTGGGTAGGATGATGGTTTCAGTGCTTCTGACTGGCATGATGACATTGGCTTTCTCTCCACTGATACTGCCTGACCTGCTATTATTTCCAGTGTTTCCTGTTTTCATTCTGGGACCATGAGGATCAGAGGCAGGTCACCTTACAGCCTGGGATTTCCTTCTCAATAAGCCTGCCTTCTTTGTAGGCTTTTAGGGAGGGAAGAGAAAGAGAAGGTGGACAGGTTTCCAGCTCACTCCCAATATTCCCATACACACTCACTCACTCATTTACACTGCAGCTCTTCCTCTGTCACACATCCTTTCCTTTCCTCATTCCTTTGCACACCTTCCTTCACACTCACACACTCATTCATTCTTTCCCTCAATATTTGTTTCACTCTCACTCTTTCCCTCTCACTCCTTCTCTCTCTTCCTCTTCTCTATCCTCCCCTGCCTTTGTCTCTCTCTTAATCATTTACTCGCTTAACAACATTCTCCCTTGCTCATAACCACCATTGCCTATCCTGGGCTGAGGTGCCATGCTCCACCATATTGATTGCCTTCTTCAGCAGGCCAGCACTTGGATAGGAAGGACGAAGGCTCGTTTTCCTCTCACATTCTCACTTCTTGACTCAGCTTCTTTCTTCTGCACCATTGGCAACTTTCCCCTGAATCCAGCTGGTAACTGGCATGTCCAGCAAACATCCGGTCTCTCCCTCCCCTCCCCCACTCTGGCAGCTCCTAATCCACAGGCCTCAGACTCAATGGAGTTGCTCATGTTATCACCCACAAATGGGGGAGAGAAATTACATTTAATTGGATGCGCGACTCCTCAAAGAGCATTCCACTTCTAATTTCTGTACTGTATTTGGACCCCTTGCCAGCCACCTGTTGGACAAGCCTGATTGAGATTCCACTACCCCTCCAGAGATTCTCCCAAATTGCATCACTTCACCCTTACCAGCATTAAATTCCATCTACCAAGTGCTGCCATCTTCACTAGTCTGTCTACATCCTACTGTTCACTATTTACTACATTGCTAACATCTAAGTTATACAGTCTACACACAATTCCAAATTATTTATACATAACAAGAAATGCAAAACTCTTAGTGTCAACCTCCAGAAGAGTCCTCTCCAATCAATAAAATATATGTTTATCATTATTGTCTACCCCGTATCTTTCATTCATTTACAATCCAAGTAAACATGATTACTTTAATACCATTTGCTTCTATTTCCTAAATTATTTTGTTAGCAAATGTAACATCTATAAACATTTACTTCATCAACTCTTTCTGTTACTTCAATGAAGTCAATTTGGTTAGCCAAGATACAATTTGCCTTTTATAACTTCATGCTGGCTGTTAACAAGTGAAAATTTGTCCTTTGACAATGGTCCTAGTGGATTTCCCTTCACTCTCTTAGACTGATAGTTACAAAATTTATATCTCCCCTCATTTTTTTGAGCAAATATGTAACTTGTGCAATTCTATAGCCCATGGGCACTACTCACAATTGCAACAAGTAGTGAAAGATTGTAATAAGGGTTTTGTTACAAGGTTTTTGGCAAGGCTTGTATAAATGATTTGGTTTCATTCTCCTGCTCATTCACAGTAATCAGATAGGTTTTGTATTTTGCCCGTGTTCTAATACTACTGATTAATATCAACCAAGCTGTTTGAAGACTTAGAATGAGCAATGTTTCTAAATGAGAAGCTTTCCTTTTACAGCCGTAATCTCTCCATATACATCACAGCAATATACTGATGTAAGGACAAAGAACTCTGACAGAATATATCATTGTGAATGCTTTTTTTTGTACTTTTTGCATGTTTCTCAGAGACATCAACAGGGATATCTAGTAAACTCTTTAATGTAAATCAGAAGCAAATTTATACCACCTCAGGGAGAGTTTACTAACTTTACCAAAATCAGATAGTCCATTGACACCAGATTTTACACTACCAGTGTCCACTTTGCTTGTGTCTGCCCTGAAAAACGAGAGAAGGTAAAATAAATGATATATCTACAATAACTGTGTTTTGCATTGTTAGTACAATGTAAAACAGTAAGTCAAAGGTTGCACAGTGGCACAATGTGCTGATAAACCCTGATGCGGTATCATGGCCTAAAGTTATTGATTCTTAACATTGTGAGTTTACAACCCTAGCTACGAAGACATGCCGAGCTGATAGGAAATAATTTCCCACAGAGAGTGAGAATTATTCTTTTCTGTAATGATACGCCTCTACATGTCAGATTTCAAACTGAGTTGCAGAACTCTAGGAAACTGGCCTCCTGCTGTTTTCAGCCATGGGTGATACATGACATGGACTATTTTCCCATATACAAAAATTTCACACATATAAAAATCTTTCCTATTCATTCCAAATAGAGAAGAAAATGCCTCCAATTGATATTTTCATCACAACAATTTTCAGTTCTGTTTTTATTAGACAAAAAGTTTCTTATTTTTTGCTATCAGCTCAGCATGTCTTCATAGCTAAACTCACAATGTTGAGAATCATTGACTTTAGTCCATGATACCGCATGGGGGTTTATCAGCACATTGTTAAATTTCCAAACTAAAGGAAGGTAATTTGGAATTTATATTATAGTTATCTCCATGATATTAGGCAGCATGGACAAGTCTCCATTATACTGGAACTTGGAATTAGAATCATAGAAATCCCCTACAGTGTGGAAGGAGGCCATTCAGCCCATCAAGTCAGTACCAACCTGCAAAAGAGCATCCTACCTGGACACAGACCCCCACCCTATACCTGTGACACCACATTTACCATGGCCAATCCAACTAGCCTGGTCATCTTTGGACTGTGGGAGGAAATTGGAATACCCGGAGGAAACCCGCGCAGACACAAGGAGAACATGCAAACTCCACAAAGATAAATCACCCAAAGCTGGAATCAAACCCAGGTCCCTGGTGCTATGAGGCAGCAGTGCTAACCAGTGAGCTACCGTGCCATCCCCACTGAGCCACTGTGCCTCCCCTTGTTAAGATATTTTTCCATGATGACTATTTTCATTTACTTCCATCGCATTAGTTCAGGTAATGATCTTGCTGTGTTTAGCCCCTTATTTGCCAATTCAGAGGCAACTTACCATGGTGTATTACAAACGTGTGTTAATGTCAGGTAACGGACTCCAAGTTCATAGAACATGCGCAAAGCTCCGAGACTGTTGTCGATTCCGTGTCCACCTTCCACACCAATAAGGCTGGCTATTTTACCACTGTGAAATACTTCTGTGATTCCTTTAATAGAGTTAATCAATAGCATTATACTCTGCAGAAAGCATTAATCCCATAATCCTCTTGCAACCTTACTGCTGATGCAGTATCTCAAGTTGTTAGCAGTATTTTGTCCAAAACTCTACCATCTAGGACATGACGAAAATTTCTCCTCATGTAGCATGATCCAAATTCAAAGTTACAAACTATTCCTTAAATCTGCAACCATACATTCATTATTTACCCATTTCCATAGCACACTCAAATTTCAAATCTCACTTGCATGCATTCTTGAAATATGTCAATATTTGTGAGCTTTCACATCACCTCTTTGTTCTTCAGTTTGCTAACAAAATGTAGACATTGTATACGTTTACAATATCACCTGCTGTGCAAGGGCAGAAAGCCAAATATAGATTAGGCTATGACATACCATCAGCTGTTGTTGTTAGCTGAAAATCTTTTGGGAACATCTGTACCATTCTCTTTATCACATCGATTTGTTCCAGTGCATGACGGACTGCATCTTTGTTCTGTGCATTACAGGGCACATAAGCAACCCAAAACTAGTTGCAATAAATTAGAAACAAGTTTTATTGGACCAGTAAAGTCAAATAGGAAGTTATCTAATCAGAAATACAGAGTCATTGGTACTTGCTTTCTCTCATGTTCATTCCGTATTTCTTTTTTAAACATCATTTTTGTTCTTTTCAACGTTTGCTTAAAATGAAATATTTAGCAGAAATATCTAACCTGACATAATTCATGATGTTGCATCTCTAAAGATTGACATTTATTTCTTATTATATTTTTGGAATATTGGTAAAGTTCAAGTTTAGGATGAAGGCAAACTCTTAAACGCCTGTTGTTTGGCAGAAAATCCCATGTTATTCAATTTAATAAAAGGATGCTGTTTGCCATTGTATTATTTCAATGAAAAAACATTGATGCCCTCTAGTGGTCAGTATTTCCATAGGGGGTTGGCCTGATAGATTTTTAAACAAGCTGCTCATAACAGGTTACAATACATATGTAGCGTAGAGGCGGACTGAATCCAGAAATGGGAACACTACCACTGCACCACAATAGCCTTATTGATTCACATTCCCTTTGGAACAGTGAGTTAGCCTAAATTAGGTACAACACATGAAATCTGGAGTGCATAGAATCGGAGTGCAACCTTTAAACTTGAGCACTACAGCAGCAGGCAGACAGATAAATAAGAATTTGGTTGAGGCATTTGACCGTGAGGTAACTTCACGGTGTGATTCATCAATTATGTAATAATCACCGGAATCATGGCAAAACATCATGGTGACCAGGCACGGAAAACAGGCAATATTACAGACTATGACAACACGGTATGGAGCTGGAGGAGCACAGCAGGCCAGGCAGCAGCAGAGGAGCAGGAAAGCTGATGTTTTGGGTCAGGACCGTTCTTCAGAAAAGTCAACTTTCCTGCTCCTCTGATGCTGCCTGGCCTGCTGTGTTCCTCCAGCTCCACACTGTGTTATCTCTGACTCCAGCACCTGCAGTTCTTGCTATCCCATATTACAGACAATGACTTCCATGTCCCCTAGAAGGAAAGAGAAAAGGACTGTTGGTGTCTACACCGACAAATTTACCAGAACATGTGAAATACCCAGAGGGCAGGAAGAGAGAGAGATCTTATTTTTCTCTTTTAAAAATACTTTGTTTAGTTTTTAAAATGACTGCTATCAAACACAGTGAACAAGATGACTGCTTCTAGAAATTACCAGACCAAAAGTGAACTCATCACCCCTTCAAAACAGACACTCCTTGCATTTTAGGAACATTCCAAGCAAGCCAATACAAAGGGCTAGTGAACAAGATATCTACATCAGCCAGTTTTGGACAAAGGTTGCTCATTCTTGTTCAAATGTCTCCACAGTTATCTGGTAAAAGCCTGGTTTCAGAAGAGGGGCACCAAATCTACCTTCTTAGCAGAGTGTCCCAACCTGAAGCTCCAGTTGTATGACTGAAACTGTTAGTTTGTTTGAACCACCTTTAAAGACACAGCTTTTTATCAATACTCATTAATCTGGTTGTAACACCGAAGAAAAAGCAGACTCAGACTCAGCTAAATCACTACAACTGATCTCAATATTTCTGAGAAGTCTGATTTTGCAAGTTTCACTTGCAACATGAACCAATTCTCACCATGCATCCATACATCTTCACCTGAAATTTGGCTGTATCTGAGCTCCTGCAAAAGGGATTTCGGGGCACAATCAACTGAAAGAACAGCAACTGGACACTAACTTATTGGATTTTTATCATTCAAGTGAAATAATTTTAATTTTCTTTATTTTAAGTAATTTGTAACATATCCCCTTTTCTTACTTCTATTGCTCTGCATAGATGATTTCCAGCTAGTGAGAGAAACAAGGAATTAAAGGCCTGGTTAATTTTTAGGCTATATATCCTTAAGCGTGCTGAAACGATCGCCTTCACTACTATTTTGCAAACTTAATACTGGTTCTGGCGATTTCCTAAATAATTCTCCTTCCTTCAACCTCCACCTCATTAAGATTGCATCAATACATATGTTACATTTCAAGAATAAAGAATCTTCTACCTGAGCACCAACCAAACCAGCCCGGAGCTTCTCAATATTGGTGTGGGTAACATTCCATGTTTTAAGGTCTATGGCAGAAAGGTCATTGTGCACTCGCTTCCTCAACTGCCATGGCATGTCATTGTGTCTGAAATAATGAAAGTTAAGCACACTTTAAAAGCGAGAATAAATTATTTCATAGTACAGTATATTAGTTTTTTACGGAGATACTGAACAGCTGCTGTTTCCTCTTTTTGGTTAATTGGTTTATGACACTAATCAATTACCAAAGTTTCATTATTTTGTTTCATGCCAGGATATTTTACTCCACTTTAGCATTGACAATCATGTCTGTGAACAGACTCTGCACCCTCCATACGTACCACAATCTGCCAGATATTGGGGTAGAAGAGTGAAACAAGATCTCAGCGAAGCCTTCAAAATACTTAAATAAATCGAGCAGGTAAAATGTTTTTCCTGGTTGGGGAGTGTAGAACCAAGGGAGCACACTTTCCACTGGGAATGTCATTTATAACTGAAATGAGGAGAAATGTTTTTATTTAGAGGGTGATGAAACCTCTATTTTAAACATATTCAAAGACTCCACAACCCTCTGGGGTAGAAAATTCCAGATATTGATACGTTTTTGATTATCAATGGTTGACAGGGTTATGGGAATAGTGTGGGTAAAAGGCATTAAAGTGTTTGATCAGCCATAATTCGATTAAATGGTGGAGTAGGCTTGATGTGTTGAATGGCCTACACCTGTTCCTATGTTCCTATTTATTTAGCAAAAGTAAAGTCAAAGATTACAAGAATAACAACGTCCACATGTCCCTTGCATTTAGCAGCAGTTGTCCATCAGGCTACCAGTACAACGTTAAACAGTTAAACCAAGTCCAAACCCAGCACATTTATCCTGGATGTGGTTTTCAATGAAGCTATCCCTGGTTTCTCATGCTTTACAATGCATTTCTCTGTCATGGTCTCTTCGACAGCCTCCTGGTCAATGTCTTTATCATCATCTTCATTGTCAAGAGATTGCTGTCAAACCCCATTTTGTCCACATCAAGGACACTCCCCCTTTGTCAGCTCCAGTTGTAAAGAGTACATTATGCCACAATGATGCAAAGCACATTCTATTAACCTGCCAGGTTCCACTGCAGTGCTCCAGGCATCAAACCCTCTTCTTAGGGACGTCTATGTTCTGTTCTACTATGATCTGGTATAAATGTGATCAGAGTTGTACATTGTAACAATCATTCCTGCATTGCAAAGGACTTTTGAAATAAGGAACCTGAGAGTTCCCGAGCAAGTAAGAATCATGCTAGCTCCTAGGGTATTTGGTGCAGACTTCCAAAAATTGATGGCCACATATAATTTGAGCATTGATGGAGCGGACACCTTTTCTGTTGATGATCTCTGCAGGTTGGTGATAGGAGCAAGGGAAGTACAATTGTGGCCTTCACCTGCAGGAAACCAGCGATGGTGGAAATGCCACTGGCTGAGCTGCTGTCCTCTCCTAATCACAGGGAACAGATATTACTAACTGAGAAGTGGAGAAAATAGCATCAGTTACATCCCAGAGTATTTGTGGGTAGAGGATTGGGAGATGCCACATGGGTCCCCTGTTAGTCCTTTGAATGAATTAGTAGAATTAAAGTTCATGCCAGCTATGACCTTGATGTCTATCAGGATGATATGAGTGCAGCAGAGAGTTGGTTAAATGTCATTAGGCCTATAGATCTAGGTTCTCACCATTCTCCTCCACCTTTTACTTCATCCTTTGGAGGCTTTGCGGTGAATAGTGAGTTTCACCTTTCTTGCTGGATTTGTTGATGACATGTAATTCTAATGTCAGTTATGTGTGTATGAAATGGAGAGCATGGATGTCACTTTTAAATGCCTTTGTCTGATTATGTTTGTCTAGCTGACAAGGCAAGGAGGCAATTAGTGCCCAGAATAAAATGATCATTCTTGCTTGAGGCCATAATTGTTTATTCTTGAACAATGAATGACCTGCCGATGAAGGGCAAATTGAAGCCAGATAGGTGGTGGCATAACTGAATCAGTGGAGGCTCAATTACTACAAGTGCCCCTGGCAGGTCCTCAAAAACAGATACAGCTTTATAAAAACATGGGAAAACATTACAATAGAATTGGAATGAGTCAATCTCTCTTTCCAACTATAGAACCAACTGCAGAGATCCATACGGAAGCATTGGCCTGGCACCATTCAATCAAAGATGCTACAAAAATAATAGTGAACTCCCCCCTCTCGCAGGTGACCTATGCCTTCCCTATACACAACCAAGTAAAGCTGCTATATTAGATGTTAGTCATCCTGAGGGGTTTGGAATTGAATGGAATAGCTTGATTGAAAAACACTGAATTACCTCAAATGGCAGATTATTTACAGCTAATTTTTAAGATAACATTTAATGGAACAAAACTATTCAACAACCAATATTTAAAAAAGCAGCCTTTTGTTAGGAAGCTAAACTCACTTGCCTCAATCTGTCAGACAAGAATGTTTTATTCTTGTAACTTCTTGAAACAGCCATCTAAAACTAACATTAATTGTATTCATAATAAAACCAGCAAAACACAAGCCAAAATGACAATTGATCCAAGTCAAAATGAATTAAATTTTTCTCAGAACTTGCTTCTTATCAAAAGAGTATTGATAGGAGATATACTTTCTTCTCTTGAAGGAATTTGTCTTCACTTACCAAAACAAGGAGAGTATGTGTAAACTTCTGTCTTCAGCACCCAGACAGTAATCTGGTGGCATGGACTGTGAAATATAATTTTTGTTTATGACTGAAACTAGCAATCAATCTGTGTATGTACAAGACAAACTTGAACATTTTTGTCTAAGTCATTAATTCTCAGCTTGTCAATTTGATGGGCCTTCTTTCACATGCCAACAGTAAATATAAAAACATCACCTTGGTACCATACTGGTTTAGGTGTGCCTGTTGCTCTGATCTTGTAGCATGCATGCAAAGCAGAAAATGCAAGTATTGTATATGTTAGAGTTAAAGTCAAATTTTGATGCCAATTTTCTAGGCTAAATGTCAGGGGGTTATCTTTAACATGGGTAATATTTTTGAGGCATTGACATGAATGCTTGATGTGAGCACAAAAAACTTTCACAATGGAATAAAGTAAAAACCAACAATACTAAAGAAATCATTTAAATTCTATTTTAGTTATTTTGTAACATTGTAAACTACAGTATATACCCTATTATCCAACATGTTATAAATACATACCACATTAAGTTTACTACATCATATTACAGTGAATTGCTGCAAAGTCACTCAGATCACTGTTTGAATCATCAAACTTTTCACCCCATTACTTGGCTGTATGACCTTTTCAAAACACCTTCATCACCACTGGCAGTACAGATCACTTTAGCAACATCATGCCACAAGTAATTGAGTTCTGCACCACTAACATAACACACACTCGCAATTCTGCTTAATCGCAATATTGTCAAAAAGAATCATTAATTCCACGCACCTCTGACCTATGGGCAAAATGTTGCTTTTCTTTATTATTTGCTTATGGGATGTTGGCTTTGTTGGCTAGGTCATCACCTACTGCCCATCCCCAATTTCCCTGAGAAGGTAATGGTGAGTTGTCTTCTCAAACCATTGCAATCCTTGGGGTGTAGGGACACCACAGTGCTGTTGGAAAGGGAGTTCCAGTGACAGTGTAGGAATGGCAACATATTTCCAATTCAGGATGGTGAGTGGCTTGGAGGGAAACTTGCAGGTGTCAGTGTTCCCATGTAAGCTGCTTCATTTGTCTTTCTAGGTGGGAGAGGCCATAGGTTGGGAAGGTCATGTTGAAGGACCATGGTGAGTTATTCCACTTCAAGGTACACACTACTGCCACTGTGCGTCACTGGTGAAGGGAGTGAACATTGAAGGCGGCAGATGGGATGCTAAGCAAGCAGACTGCACTGTGAGGGACAGTGTTGAGCTTCTTGAACGTTGTTGAAGCTGAACTCAACCAGGCAAATATTTGATCACTCTCCTGGCTTGTAGATAGTGAGCAAGCACTGGGGAGACTGGAGGTGTTATTCACAATACAATTCCCAAATTCCGACCTGTTCTTATCACAGACTACATCATTGAAGGTGAGATTTGAACGTGTCACAGATGAACAAACCTTTCTCCGTTGTGCTCTTGCTCTCAAATTCCACACTTATTTCATCCATTTCTTGTACCTGCCTTTATTCGTTTAGCTTCTCTTGTGAACATGGACAACAGCATCTTCCTAAAATTTCTCTTTGGGGAGAATTTTGCCAGTGAATACAAGTATTTAATTTTGTGCCATTTGCTATAGAGTCTCTAAATCACAGAAGTGTTATGGCATAGGGGGCCATTTAGTCTATCGTGTCTGTACCAGCTTTTCAAATGATCAGTTCCTAATGTTAATGTTAATCTCCTGCCTTTTCCCTGTACCATTGCATGTTATTTTTATCCAAATAATTATCAAGTGCTCCCTTGAATGTCTCAGATGAACCTGTCTCCACTCCAAAGCAGTGCATTCCATACCCTAACTACTCAACGAGTGGAAGAAGTTTTTTTTTCCTCATATCACATTTGGTTCTTTTGTAAACCATTTTAAATTTATGCCCTCTCATTCGTGTTTCTCTTATGAGTGAAAGCAATTACTTGCTATCCACTCTATCTAACCTGCTTGGGATTTTACTAACCTCTATCAGATCTCCTTTTAGCCTTTGTCTCTCTAAAGAGAATAGACCCATATCTTCAATCTATCCTTACAACTGAAGTTTCTCCTTCCTGGAACCTTCACGTAAACTGCTTCTACATTCTACAATATGCACGTATCCTACCTATAATGTGGCATCCAGATCTTTACACATTATGCTAGCTGAGGTCTAAGAAGTGTCTTATACAAGTTCAATATCACCTCCTTGCTGCTGTATTCTATGCCCCTATAAATAAAGCTTTGAATACTGTATGCTCTACTAACTGTTCTCTCTATATACCTTGCCACCTTTAATGATCTGTGCAGATATACACCCATGTCCCTTGCTCCTTCATCCCCTTTAGGATTGTACCCCTGTTTTGTTCGGTCTTTGTTTTTCCTATAAAATGCATCACC